ATTATTTATGATAATAATAATAATAATAAATTATGATTTTTAAATGGGTTTAATTATATTAAATTAGCCCTTTATAATAATAATAATATATTAGCTCTTTATTATAATATAATTATTAATAATAATAATAATTAATTATTATTTCCAAATGGTTTTAATAATAATAAATGAGCCCTTTATAATAATAATAATAATAATAATATATTAGCTTTTTATTATAATATAATTAATAATAATAATAATAATAATTAATTATTATTTTCAAATGGGTTTAATAATATTAAATTAGCCCTTTATAATAATAATAATAATAATAATAATGATAATAATAATAATAATATATTAGCTTTTTTATAATATACAGTAATTATTATTATTATTATTATTATTATAGATTCTAGTGGGTAAATAGAGTTATCATTTGTGGCTGGTTATTATCAGTGTGAATGTTCTTTATTGAATAATTATTGTAATATTTATTACTAATGACACTGAAGGCTTGTGCAAGACCTGAAGTCAAATATCAAACGAGGTAATGGGAAATATCCGGCTTCTGCTGCTTCAAACTCAGCATGCATGATTACGCTTGGAGCACACGAACAATAAAAGCAACATTCAGCGTGCATCACACAGAAGCTGACTCACACCAATCATCATCTCTTATTAAACAGACGCCAGGACAGATGAAAGACAGCCAAACGGCACGTGACGGTGAAGTTTCACACGCTTCACTTGAACATGCTTCAGTGACGCTCGTGCTTCATTATTCCACATTATTATGTACAGCACTGCATGCAAGAGCAGCGCTTCTGAATTTCACACATATTCATATCTGCTAAATGAACGTTCACATGCACAGAGTTTAAATGGTTAGAAATAGATGCATGTCTTACTCTTCAGAGTTTTGAACTGATTCATCAGCTGTTATTTTAGTATCATTCATATTCTTAATTAATATTAATGAATGTATTTTTAATATAAATATTTTTCAATATATATATATATTTTTTTATTAATATTTTGTAATAGTTTTTATTTTTAAACGTTCTGTTTTAATTGTAATTTTAGTTAAAGGTTTAGTACTTTTTAACTTTAAAGTTTTTTTGCATTCTTTTAAATATCTCTATTTTTATTTTAGTTTTAGTTATTTTATTGTAAGTGACGTAAATTAGAAATGTTTCCTTGGCACATAGCTGATTAAAAAGTATGTTTTTTTATTTTACGTTTTTATTTTATTTGTGTTAAAGTTCATTTTATGTCAAGTAACAATATTTTTCATGGTTTTAGTTAACTTTAGTTAACTAAGTATTTTTATTATTTGATTTAAATACAAAAAACTGATTTTTTTTAGCTTATTATTATTATTATACAAATAAGTTTAGTGGGTGCATTCCATAAATTGGGAATACATTTTTTTTTTTTTAAATAAAGTGGGATTATTTTTTATGATTTTTATAATTATTTTAATATTTAGTTTATATAATATTTTATTTTAATATCTAACGATGCTTTAAAATGTGCATAAGCATTACAGTAATGAGAATAGTAATGGAAAAACATGTAAAAGTACTTAAATAAAGTAGAAAAAACCCTAAACGGTCACAAAAAAATTATTATATCAATTATATCAATATCCTAGAATTTTAAGGTGAAATTTGATCTCTATTTTTTATTAATCCGAGAAAAACCCATGCTACTAATACAGTATTTTCAATAAATGTCTTATCAGATATATTTATGCTTCTATTGTCTGTTTAAGCTTGACAGGGTACAGTAAAGCTACAGTAAAGACGTCTGTAGACGTGATTAACGCTCGTTTGTTAAATGATTAATCACACAATAGAAATGCCTCACACACAGATGACTGGAGACATGAACTGGTCACATGCTCTTCAGGGAACGCTCTCTGTTGGAACATGAAGTCGGTTCTGAGGAGCTCGACTCCCCGAGGGCTTCACGCACAAACATCCCGTTTAATTAAATCAAGAGCATGACGAGCTTTTGTGGGACTGCTGGAATCTACACTAGCTATTGATTTAGAAACTCAGGCATCCATAATGTCATAACTCCCAGCTGAGTCACTGCATGAATCCCAGCAAACCGGTCATGATCAGTCATATTTCACATCGCAGTCACTCACAAAGACAAGTACGTGTTCTTAAGGGAAAATATTTAATAAACATTATTATTATTTGTATAATGTCTCTATATATGTTTATGTTAATCTAATAATTTAACTTTTTCATCAGGGTTATTATTAACTAAAACTAAAATTTTAAATTAAAAAATTAAAAAAACATTCTCATTAAAAAAAAATTATTATAATGAAATTAAAATAAAAACAGAAAGTAAAATATAAAATAAAATCTCAATTAAAATATTAACAAAAAAAACATATAAATAATAAAATAAAATATTAAAAACTTACATTTATTTTATTTCTCAACTTAAAAATTAAATTATACTGAAATTAAAATAAAAACAGAAAATATAAAATAAAATCTAAATTTAAATATTAAATAAAACTATGATAGTATATTATACTAAAATTAAAAACTTAAATTGATTTTATTTCTCAGGTTGGAGCACTAAACTTAGACTAAATAATAATAAAAAAAAACTAAATAGAAATAGAAATATGACAATAAACTAATAAAAATGACAAAAACACACAACAAAATTATTAAAATTGAACTAAAATTAAAATAGAAAATATAATATATATATAGCTGTCAGGGTAACATTTGTTTTGCTTAGATTAACTTTACTAGAACAACTAAAAACTAAAACTATACAGACATATTAAAAAAACTAATAAAAATGACAAAACACAACAAATGTACTAAAATTTAAAATAATAATTTATAAAAAGTAAAAAATGAAATTATACTGAAATTAAAATAAAAACAGAAAATATCATATAAAATAACATCTAAATTAAAATATTAACAAAAACTATAATAGTACGTTATACTAAATAAATAAAAAGACATTCTCATTACTTGAAATAAAATAAAATATATTAAAAACTTTAATTTATTTTATTTCTCAAGTTGGAGCGCTAAACTTAGACTAAATAAAAAACTAAAAACGTCCCAGGTTACGTATGTAACCATGGTTCCCCGAGGGAACGAGACGCTGCGTCGGAAAACGCTAGGGGAATGCCTTCAGTGATACCAAGCTCTGAATCATATGTGTAATCAGTCGAACGATGGGCGAGACGTGCGCGGCGGGTGACGTCATGACCAGGAAGCTTTAAAAGCACGTGAGGTGCCGCCGGCGCTAGCTTCTTAGGAGTGAAGCAAGCTCTAGTAGGGATGCCGGAAGTATGGCCTTGCGACGCAGCGTCTCGTTCCCTCGGGGAACCATGGTTACATACGTAACCTGGGACGTTTTTAGTTTTTTATTTAGTCTAAGTTTAGCGCTCCAACTTACTCACTAAAAACTAAATAGAAATATGACAATAAACTAATAAAAATGACAAAAACACACAACAAAATTACTAAAAGTTTAACTAAAATAAAAAAATAAAAAAAAACTGAAAATATAAAACTATCTAATAATAAAATTAATGTTAATCTATTATTTACAAAACTATAATAATATAGTACTGACACAAAAAACACTGTTTTTATCTCATATTTATATTTTATTATAAACAAGTTAGTTTTAGTTTTTTTGTTGTGTTGTTGTCATTTTCATTAGTTTAAAATGTTTTTTATTCAGTTTTATTTTAGTACATCAAGATACAGTAAATTAAAATAAGAAAACTAGCTGAAATAAAATATATTATATAATATTTAATCTATTTCAAGGAACGATAATGTTTTTTGATTTTAGTTTTAATTAACTATAATAACACTGAGATGTATATAAAGCACAGTATATGAAGTTGAAGAGATATTACATCCAGCTTCATCTGCACACATACAGTATATATATATATAACTTCTGGCAGCTGTTACGGAATTTTAATTTGACTTTGAGATTAAATAGCTTTGATATTTGACCACTTGGTTACAGTGACACGAAACGTTCTTATTTCTGCCAGGAATGCAACATCAATCAGGAGTTAATGATATTTTGAATAGAATAACGAGACAAAAACCTCTACATATTCAATCGCGTTCGCATCCATTTAATTTTGATCAGTGCTTCGCTACACAACATGCAAACTTTTACTCCAAAAGTGCGCACATTATGTATTCACACGTTCACCTCACATTTCTTTAATTGGAATATAGAAGCATAATTACTTAATGACTCGCAGAACGACGATTCTCAAATATGTTGCTGTGTTTCATGATTACGGCGTATACGTTTTTCTTTATTTACCCTCAAAAATTGGAAGTGAAATGTGACAACATGCCCCGTAGGTGGGGTACATTGTAACATCTGAGGGGCACGTTGTAACATGACCATATGGCAGCTTAAAACGTTACTGATAGAAAGCAATCGCAACTTGTTCAAAAGAAAGAGAAACTGCTTTTATGATGTAGAGGTTGAACACGTAGTTTTGAGAATTTCATTTCTGATCTGAGAAATGCACCGAAGCCAAAGAAAAACTATTATTTTTATATTTTCTGTTTTATTTGAATTTTAGTTTCAGTAATTTTGTTATGTGCCTTTGTCATTTTTATTAGTTATTGTTTTTATGTACTGTATGTCTGTATAGATTTAATTTATTAGTTAATCACAACACTGAGCATTACATGCATACATGTGACAATCCACAAATGCACTGTGCCAGTTTCAGTGACAAAAGAAAAACTTAAAATAAAAGCACTGATACAAATAGTTAAATGTAACTTAAAAACTTTACTGACATCAATTTCAAGTCTATTCATATGAGTGCAGTGTCTTCACTCCTATTGGTAGTTGCCGTACCGCATCACTGCTCATTTACATAAAGTGAAACATTCCTCAGCTTTATCATATTTCTGGACACGCCCACATCACACGACTCTCGTGCCACCTTCAGACTAATCAGCAGCTCTCAGTGTAAATGAATGAGATGTGATGGCAGTTTCACTGCTGTTCTTACACTCATCCGCTGAAGAGCCCTCGAGCGACTCTCACGCGTGAAACCTGAGACAATTAGGAGCGGAGGAGCGGAGGAGCGGAGGCGCAGATCACACACGAGACGAGCTTCTCATCTCACACACACAGAAGCGCTGGGAACACGACTGTAATGCCAGCCTGAGCTCTTCTACAGTCATTTATCAGACCACAGAGCAACAAACTACCTGCACTAGAGCAAACCAGCCGAATAAAATGATGCTTAGACATCACACCAAGGAACATCAGAGTTAAGGGTCTTACATCACATGACTCTATATACCAGTTTTGCTGGAAATTAAAGTGGCAAATTGTGATGTTGCAACTGTAAAAACACCCATCAGTCTTCCTCATCTTGACTTGTTTGTTTCACGCCCTGCTCTGTGTTTTCACATTACCGCATGTTTATTCATCACTCGTGTGTAAATAACATAAAACAGTCCTGCCTCCTGTGCAAATACATTTACCACGGTAAAAGAACAGTACAGTACAGAACAGCAGAATCTCCACCGGCCGACACACTTCAACCCTCAGATAGATAGATAGATGGATAGAATGATAGATAGAAAGATAGATAGATAGATAGATAGATGGAACGATAGATAGAATGATAGATAGATAGAACGACTGACAGACAGACAGACAGACAGACAGACAGATAGATAGATAGATAGATAGATAGATAGATAGATAGATAGATAGAACGATAGATAGATAGATAGACAGATAGATAGATAGATAGACACGATAGATAAATAGATAGACAGATAGATAGATAGATAGACAGACAGACAGCTAGATAGAAAGATAGATGGAACGATAGATAGATAGATAGATGGATAGAATGATAGATAGAAAGATAGATGGAACGATAGATAGATAGATAGATGGATAGAATGATAGATAGATAGAACGATAGACAGACAGACAGACAGACAGATAGATAGAATTACAGGATGACAAAACAATAGAGAGAACAATAGAAAGATTGAATGATTGATTGAACAATAGAACAATAGAATGACAGACCAGTAGATAGAAGGATAGATAAATAAAAAGTGAAAAATATAAAGATAGATAAATATAAAGATGAAGATACAGTAACAATTGAATGAATAAATGAAAAACAACTAAACTATACATAAACAACATATGAAGACTACATTTATAAAAGGTATAAAAGTTAATAATAAAAACATACTATCTGTATTATTGTGCTACACTAATCTGTTTTTTGAGGATGTAAGTGTATAATGGTTTGGAGGTCTGCAGGTGGAACAAGGCGTTTGTGCAGCAGGAGGATTTATGAAGCCATATCTCTAGTATTTTTGATGTAAGATATGAGGCATGACACGACTAACCAATCACCAGCATCACATGTGACGCAGAACATACCAAACCTTCTCGCTCCGGGCCAGACGGCTCTTATCTGTGATTTATTTCAGCATCTCTGCGCTCTAGATCTGCAGATTAATCTGGCTCCGGGTCACTGATTTCCACTGCAGACGTGTGCCGTGTTTTTCCACTCACATGCTCGCAGAACATACCAAACCTTCTCGCTCCGGGCCAGACGGCTCTTATCTGTGATTTATTTCAGCATCTCTGCGCTCTAGATCTGCAGATTAATCTGGCTCCGGGTCACTGATTTCCACTGCAGACGTGTGCCGTGTTTTTCCACTCACATGCTGAGAAGATCCTGCAGACGGGCGTCAGCGGCGTAGTGTGCTGAGGACGAGATGCTGACGACCCTGGAGCACGAGCCATCCTTCCCAGAATGCACCAGGCTGTCCAGCAGAAGGCAGGTCAGCAGAAAGTGGCCTAGATAGTTAGTGGTGAAATGAGTCTCAAATCTGTCTTCGGCTCGGCCTTCAGGAACCTGCATAACAGCCGCTGACATGAAACACAGAACACAAGTTCACAGAATGATTACTAGGCCAACACCTACTAGTCCAACACCTACTAGTCCAACACCTACTAGTCCAACATCTACTAGTCCAACATCTACAGTACTAGTCCGACATCTACAGTATTAGTCCAACATCTACTAGTCTAACATCTAGAGTACTAATCCAACATCTACTAATCTATAGTACTGGTTCAACATCTACAGTACTAGTGCAATATCTATAATGATAGTCTAACAACTACTAGTTCAACATCTATAGTACTAGTTCAACATCTACAGTACTAGTTCAGTATCTAGTAGTTCAACATACAGTACTAGTTCATCTACTAGTTCAACATCTATAGTACTAG